CATTCTGGTCTAAACCTTTCTGAATTAGCCCGATCGGAAAATCCCGAAGGGTGATTTTCCTAGCAAAGATCCCATATGATCTTTAGCCGATCATATTACATTGGCCGGCTTAAATCACTAACCCAAACCCACTAGTTCCATCGTACTACCCTGACTGACCATCAATTGAATAACCGAGGAATATTGGCTTAGTTACGGATTTACTAATAAAGCATTGGCTCCAAAATCGAAAATTCTTTTTTTAAAAACTATCTAAAAAAAAAGGCGACAAGATATTTTTAAGTAAAGACTTATATGTATTTAATGTTATATTATTACTATATTATTGTTATTGTAATTTAATAATGCTGATCTTAATAAAACAATGTTACAGTACTTTTAACGTTTTGGCTCCGCTTAAAGTTAGACAGCTTGTAAATGGCCCAGCTTTGGTTTGTAAAGCCGAAGGATTGGCTAGGTTTGATCAAGTTGGCTCTAAGCCGAACCGAGCCAAGCCGTTTGCTACAATCTTTTTGTGATATTAATTAGATAGTTGGGTTTTAGCATTATTAATAGTACAACTAGTTTATTTTTTTTTATTTACAGTAATACTATATAATATGCTTGAGTTGAATTTACTGTATATAAATTGATAGAAATCGCCAATATTTTTACTCATAATGAGGGTTTTGTAAGCAAAAATTTAATAAAAAAACAAAAAAACAAATTGAATATTAAAATTGATGAAAGTAAAATTGATGAAATAATAACCGCAAGAATAATCAGAAATCAGTCAAGCCCACATTATAATGAAGCATTTAGAAGAATGAAAAGGAGTATGAATCTTTTTGTAAATTTTAAAGAAGATAAAAATACTCAAGAACATGTAGCTAAGATAATGGGACCAAGTTATAGATTATCAGCAAGTGAATGGACTTATAGATAGATAACTAGAGGTGTTCATCATGCTGCATGTGAAACTATTTTACTATTAAGAAAAAAATATCAAATGAAACTGTTACTGTGTGGTCTAGTTGTCACCCTCACCAAACATTATGGGAAGATCCCATGTTCAAATCTCAGGAACAGCGCTTTTGTAATATGGGAAAAGTCTGCGACGATCTTCACTAAGGTTGGCCCATGGAGGATCTGTCGAGATGGTGTC